GTCCTGGAGCCCAGCACCGCGGAGCCCCCCAGCAGCCCCGTGCCTGTCCTGGAGCCCAGCACCGCGGAGCCCCCCAGCAGCCCCGTGCCTGTCCTGGAGCCCAGCACCGCGGAGCCCCCCAGCAGCCCCGTGCCTGTCCTGGAGCCCAGCACCGCGGAGCCCCCCAGCAGCCCCGTGCCTGTCCTGGAGCCCAGCACCGCGGAGCCCCCCAGCAGCCCCGTGCCTGTCCTGGAGCCCAGCACCGCGGAGCCCCCCAGCAGCCCCGTGCCTGTCCTGGAGCCCAGCACCGCGGAGCCCCCCAGCAGCCCCGTGCCTGTCCTGGAGCCCAGCACCGCGGAGCCCCCCAGCAGCCCCGTGCCTGTCCTGGAGCCCAGCACCGCGGAGCCCCCCAGCAGCCCCGTGCCTGTCCTGGAGCCCAGCACCGCGGAGCCCCCCAGCAGCCCCGTGCCTGTCCTGGAGCCCAGCACCGCGGAGCCCCCCAGCAGCCCCGTGCCTGTCCTGGAGCCCAGCACCGCGGAGCCCCCCAGCAGCCCCGTGCCTGTCCTGGAGCCCAGCACCGCGGAGCCCCCCAGCAGCCCCGTGCCTGTCCTGGAGCCCAGCACCCCAGAGCCCCCCAGCAGCCCTGTTCTGGGGCCCAGCAGCACTGTGCCAGCCCCCTTGTTCAGCCCCGTTCTGGGGCCCAGCACCCTGGAGCCCCCCAGTAGCCCCATGCTGCCCCCCCTGTGCAGCCCCATGCCAGGGTTGTGTACCCCAGAGCCCCCCAGCACCACCACCCCAGGGCCCTCCAGCATCCTCAGCTTGGTGCCTTTCACCCCAAACTCCCCAGGCAGCACCGCTCTAGCAGCCTGCACCCTTGGGCCCAGTGGCAGTGCCAGCCTGGCCTCCTGCACCCCAGGGCCCCCTGGCACCAGCTCCACCCCGCAGGAAGCTCCCTTCCATGGGTGGCGAGTGGCACCCGCCGACCTCTCCTGCAGCCCTGTGGCCTCTGAGCCCCCGGCTAGAGATGGGAGTACTGGTTCCCTACCTTGCCAAGGCACCCCTGAGGGAGATGAGTCCCCAGCCCCTGCTCCCCCAGAGCAGGGACCCTCCGGACTCTCACCCATCGAGGCAAGTAGTTCAGAGACTGCTGGGCTGGAGGCAGCGACCACCCCTATCACCTCGCCCGAGGTAGCCTCGGGTGCCATATCCTGGGTGTTGCCGCTGGTGTGGCTGGAGAAGAACCTCAGTGCCTCATCTCTGCTGGAGTCCCTGCGGCACAGCCTGCCCCTGCCCGTGCCCACGGCGGTCGCTGGCACCAGCGTCACCCCTGTGCCCACGGCGGTCGCTGGCACCAGCATCACCCCCGTGTCCACTGCGGTTGCTGGCACCTTCATGACCCCCCAGGACCTGCAGGAGAGGAGCATGAACACATCTGCAGGCATCCCCCGCTGTGCCAAGGACAGCGCTGCCGAAACGGACTCCCTGCTCTGGCAGTAAGTGTGGGGACGTGCCTCCCCCCTGGACAGGCCTGTGGCACCCATGAGCCGTCCGTACCCCAAGCCCTCTCTCTGTCCCCAGCTGTTCCCGGGAGCAGCTGAAGTCTCTGCCGCGGGCGGAGCTGGAAGGGCGGCTGGAGAGCACCCTCATCATCATCGAAGCCCTCTCCCTCCAGCTGCGCGACTGGCAGGAGAACCAGTGCCTGTTGCCCCGCGTGGGGCCGGCTGAACAGAGGGACGCGCTCACGCAGACGGACGTCACCCACCCCAAAGGGGTACGAGTCCTCACTGGGGTGGCCTCGGTGCCGTGACAGTGCCTACGTGCTGCAGGCGGGATGGTGGCCCTGGCCGGAGCGCGGCCTGGTGGAGCGGCAGTAAAGCAGAGTTGCTACAGCACGGTGCACGGCATCACGCGCCCAGCGCCGCTCCAGCCGCGTTCTCTCGCCTGGCTCAACCAGCTGAGTCTGCTGGATTTGAACCCTTTGTGCAGTGAAACATTCCTGGCACACGCAGGGGGAGGATGGGAGGTGTCATGGCAAACTGTCTCTTGCTGGACCCCAGGGTGGAGTGGGGCTGGTGTGAAGCCCCCTCTGCTCTTCTGGCATGTCCTTAGGAGGAGGAGATCTACCACAACCTCTACGTTGAGCTGCGGAGGAAGATGGAGGTTCTGCAGCGGCAGCGGGGAGCAGAGCAGAACCTTCAGCGGGAGCTGGGGCTGGCTGCAGCAGGGATGGTGCGTCTGGGCTGGTTGGCATGCGATGAGTGCGCCAGGTCTCAGCCGGGCAGGGCACACACGTGCCCGGTGCTGCCTGTGCCGGCTCTGGCAGCACTGCCTGAGCGCTGATGCCCTTGTCCCTTCCCCAGAGCGCCTGGAGCAGGCAGTGCCTCCTGTTTCGGAGCCTCGTGGATGCTGCCTTTCAGAGACTGCAGGATGAGCAGGGAGTCCTTGCCCAGGAGGTGAGTCTCTGCGCAGTCAGGCTGCCCACCCCTTTTTGCCCAGGTTGCGGGAGACGCTGCTGCTGGCACACACGGCAGCCGATGGCTATAGCCGGTGCCTCCCGGCACATCTCCTCTCGCAGAGGGAACAGGCGAGAGTTCTGGTGTCACGGTGCCAGGCTGTGCTAGAGAAAGTGCCCAGCAAGCTGCAGAGCTGCTTGGAGGAGCGAGATGCCATGAGGCAGCGAGCGGATGAAGCCCTCCGAGCCAAGGAGGAGGTAGGATTATGGCTGGTGGGGGGGTTAGGGCAGACTGATGTCCCCATGCCTTTGATGGGGCACGCTGCATCTCTGCCTGTCTCTGGGGTCTAAAGGTCCCAGGGGAAAAGCCTGATGTAGCCCTGGAAATCCAGAAATGCTTGTGGCTGCCCGGGGTGGCGGGAGCTCTCGGGATGAATTTTTGACTCGGGCTGTGTCCCACTGGGAGCGGGAGCCCTGGGCCGCGGGAGCCCTGGGTGCAGCAGCGTGCAGGGATGGATCCTGGGGATTTGCCCCTCTTGCGACACCGTGCCTGGAGCAGCCCCCTTCCCTTGGTAGGGAGATTGCTTCCTGGAGGCCTTCCGCACCCACGCCAGCGCCCAGATCAGTGCCCGCGACCAGAGCCTGGCCTCCCAGCAGGAGCTGCATGTGCTGCTGGTGGACGCCATCGACCAGCAGGTACTGAATGGGTGGGCGCTTCCAGCTGCCTCCCACCTGGGTCCCCGGGAGGCTGGAAGGGCACCCCTGTGTCCTGTGCTTGGATGATGCTCTGAGCAACGGTCTGCGATGGGTTTGGGCCCACCAGAGGTTTCTTGGTGCTGCTACTGGGAAGCTGCCACAAACCCAGCCTCGGGGTTGACGCTCGCCTCCCTCCACTGTTGAATGTGGCTCTTTCACCACGGCAGTGCTGACCCGTCTCTGCTGCTCCATAGGCATCCCTGGCTGCTGAGGCTCAGCATTTCCGGGAATTCATAGACAGCACTTTTGAAAAGCTGGAGAAGGAAAGGAGAGCCCTGGATGAGGACGTGAGTGGTGTCCCGGTGGGGGCTGGTGGCGGGCTCAGCCCCTCGCCTCCCTGCCAGCGCGGTGCAGGCTGGTGCTGCTTGGCTTTGTGCCTGTGGGCTCCAAGGCTGCCAGTGCCTTGCTGAGCTCTGCCTGATGTCACCTCCCCTCACAGCGGGAGCAGGTCAGGGCTCTGGTGTCCCGGTGCCAGGCTGTGCTGGAGAAAGTGCCTGGCAAGCTGCGGAGCTGTCTGGAGGAGCGGGATGCCATGAGGCAGCGAGTGGATGAAGCTCTTCAAGCCAAGGAGGAGGTAGGGTGGTGCTTGGGGGTGTCTGGGATGCTCCATTGCAGCCTGGCTGACCCCAAGCATGAGGTGACTTGGGGCACCCCATGGGGAAGAGCAGCCCAAAGCGAGCCCAGAGGGCACCATGTCTCTGCAGGCATCCTGCAAGCTGGAGGAGACCTCGGTGGCTCTGCAGGACACGTTGGCTCGGCTGGAGCAGCTGAACGTGGCCAACTCACGCCTCAGCACAGGTAGGGGTGGGTGACGAGGGGGTTGGAGCTCCCCCCTGTCCCCAACCGCTCCTGTCCCCCCCCGCCCTGTGCTGACGGCTCTGCTCCTCACAGACCTAAGCTCCCTGATGACAAATCTGGCCAACGTGGAGCAGGAGCGGAATGGGCTGTGCCAGGAGCTGCGGGAGGTGACTGAATGCCGTGAGGTAGGAGCTGCCTGACCCTGCCTGTGCTGTCACGGGCTGCCGGCCCCCATCATGGCCTCATGGGAACGCTGGCAGGCGGCCAGGAGCCGGATTAGCACTCCCTGGGGCAGCGGGGGGGTGAGCGAGGTGAGGGTGGTTGACATCCTGCACGTAGCGCAGCTCTTCATCCTGCCCGGCGGCAATTCCCCGGGAGGGGGACGGGCAGCTCTCTGGGATAATTTTCCCCTGCTTGCAGGCATGATGGTGTCCCCCAGCCTGTCCTATGTTCCCAGTAAACTGCTGGTCACCAGGGGTTGGTCTGCTGGGGGTAAAATTGCCCCTAATTGATCTTAATGGATCCCCTCAGGTCTCTGTCTGGGAACTCACAGCCATGTCCCCCCACCTTCTTATAGTTCCTCAATCAGGAGAACCACATGTCCCGCATGCAGCTGCTGGAGGTGGAGGCCAGGCTGAAGCTCACGCTGGACACCCTGCAGGAGCTCAGCCTGCAGTACCAGGAGCTTATGGATTCCCAGCAGCGCCTACGGTACCGACCCCACTCACCACTTCTGCTTGAACCCCTCTATTTTGGGGAAATTGAGCCCTTCTTAGGGGTTGGGGGACACACGGAGGGACATGGCTCTGGTTAGTGTTGTCCCAGCCAAGCATGGTTGCCCAGGGAGGTGGAAGAGGCTCTGGGGAAACCCAGCAGGCCCCGTCTTGGGGGAAGCTGCCTAAATCTGTGGGGTTTGCACCACCCCTGGGTTATGGTGGGAGGCAGGTGTGGGAAATGTCCCCATCCTGTTGCTGAGAAGGGGGACTGCTGCTCTCACTGGGGCTGATGCCATCCCACAGGGAAGAGGAGGCTACACTTGGCAAGGAGCTGGAGACCACCAAGGCCGAGCTCCTCGACTTGCAGCTCAAGAGGGACAAAGTCTCCTGGAGCTCTGCAGACATTGCTGAGATCAAGATGCGGCTGCAGGAGCTCGCCGACTGCCTCAGGGCCGCGCTGCAAGAGGAGGTAGGAGCCCTGCTGTGGGGACAAGGACAAGGGAAATCAGACACCTGTGGCTCTCCATGGCGTGGCTTCAAGACACCCCCACCCACCCCACCCCGATTGCCGGGGCGGTGCAGAGCTGTCACAAGCGTGTTCTCCCTCCCTTCTGAAGGATGACAATGCTCCATCGAGATGCAGAGCCTGGACCCCGGCTCCGCGGACCCTGGGCTGGCAGACACCCCGCCCTGCCTGGACCCCTGCCTGCCGCACGCCGGCGTGCCGCACCCCCTACCGCGCTGGGGACTCCTTCGTGGGCAGTGTCCTGAAAGCAGTGTGGGGGAAAGGTGAGCTGGCACTCGCTGTTGGGGTGCTGGGGGGGGGTGTCCCTGGATGGGGATGGAGATCGCTCCCTCTCATGCTGGGGATGTGCACTGGTGCTGGACAAGGCGGAGATCCCAGTGGCATTCCCGTGCCCTTCCCTGTGGATCCCCCGGTTGTTCCCCTGTGGCAACCATGGGTTTGGTCACAGCTCCTGCAAGCGACTGGGGTCTACTCTGAGCTCCCTGGGGTGGATGGGCGTGTGAGTGAGCTCTGATCGTGCTCCCTGCAGCACACAGGGCTGGGCACAGCGCCTCTGTCCTCTCCTCTCACAGATGCTGATGAAGCCACTGGAGGTGGGAGTGCATTTACCAAGGATAAACTTCCCTCTACACCAAAGCAAATAGGTACTGGGGCTGTCACCCTGCCCTGGACCCTGTTCTAAAGCTGCAGGGCTCCCTGCATGGGGGGGATGAGCAGGCATGCTTTCCTCCTTGGCTCTGTGTTCATTGGGGCTGACATTCCCTCTGTGCACTCCCCACAGAGCCTGAGGATGGTCTGCTGGAGAGTGTGAAGGAGCTGAGAGCCACAGTTTCCAACCTCACCATGCTGAGCTCCCGCATTGAGGATCTGGAGCAGAGCAAGTTCAAGGCACTGCAGATGGAGATGTGAGTTCAGCAGGCGCTTGTGTCGAGGCCTGGGTTCAGGCACCACTCTCCTGAGCATGGCCCTGGGCAGCCTGTCTGGGGTCTGTCTCTTGTCCCAATCCTGGGTTAGGCCTCTCCTGCCATGGCTAGAAGAGTTTTTTCCAGCTGGCTGGGCTGGTGGGTTTGCTGCTCCCACCATGGGGCTGGTGGGATGCCCAGGAGGGGGTTTGGTAGCTGGCACCGCGCTCGGCTGCAGTTCCCACCGGCTCAGCACTGCTGTCCTCTCCCAGCTCTGACCTGCAGCTCCGTCTGGAGACGGTGACAGCCGAGAGCCAGGAGAAGATGGATGCCCAGGCTGCCACCATCGCCAAGCTGAACAAGGCGCTGAGGGGCAAGCTAGAGGTGAGCTAGTGCCAGAAGTGGGCCAGCACTCACCCCAGGGCAGAGCCAAACTGGGACGGGTGCTGATCTAGGACACAGAGAAATCTGGGTGACTGGCTCTGGTGATGCCCCGTGGGTGCTCCTGGCTCATCTGATCTTCTCGAACATGAGAAAATCTGCTCCCCCCGGGGTGCTGGGGTTGGCCAGGGCCAACACTTGTTGGCCTGACACTGCTTCTTCCTCCCCCCCAACCCCCAGAACGAGAAGGAGCTGCAGGACGTGGTGAAACAGCAGGAAGAGAGGATGCTGCAACTCATTGACAAGAGTGGGGAAGTCACGGTTTGTGATGGGGGCCTGGCTGGCCTGCACGCCTGGGTGCTGCCGGCCACAGGCTGCCTCTCAGCGTCTCCTTTCCCCGCTGCAGAGGCTGAACGGAGAGATCTCCCAGCTCAAGCGCTCGCTCCAGCGTGCTGAAACGGAGGCCAAGGTGCTGTGGGAGGAGATGCGGGGGCAGGAGCCCAAGGTGGACACTGCCTACATCCAGGAGCGAGTCCTGCTGCGCCAGGAGGTGAGGCTGGGGGGCTGCTGGGGCTGAGGGCAACTTGTGTCACCCCACAGCGATCTCTCAGCAGCACTCACTCTTTTTGCAGGTGGACAAACTGCGGCTGATGCTCCTGGAGAAAGAAGATGAGAATCTGTTGCTCTTGGACAAGTACCAGGAGCAGGTATGGGGAACCCTGAGGGGCTGCCCTGACTCAAGTCCCCTTTCTGTCCTGGACCCCTCCCTGCCCAATTTTGGGGCAGACTCCTGACCGGCATCTCCCAATGCAGGTCCGAGGGCTGGAGATGAGGCTCCATCACACCCAGAAAGTGCTGAAGACCCACGAGGAGATGCAGGAGAAGATGAAAGAGGTGAGGTTTGTGGTTCTTCGCTCTCAGCCTCGCTGTGACTGCAGCCACACCAACCCTCATCACCGTCACTAACGCTGCTGTTGTCCCCAGGTCCTGTTGGCCGTCCCTGACCTGGCAGCAGGCTGCCAGGAGTTCCACAGCCTGCTGCGGTACTTGGGCCAGAAGCCAGCCTCTGGCAGCAAGGAAGCTCTAGCCTGTAGCGTGAAACCTTCCTCCTCTTAATGTTGTAATGATTTATTGAATAAAGTTTTGTTGTCTTTTACCCTTCCTGGTGCGTGGATGCAGGAAGCTCTTGGTGCCCTGGGTGGGGACAACTTGTCCAGCCTGCACTGGCTGTTTCTGCTCTGTCCCAGGGCTATGGGCACAGTTCCCTGCCCCCCCAGGGCCTCTCCTTCTTGGCAGGGGGTACAGACCCCCCCAACCAGCGCTTGGTCTCAACAAGGCTTCCACCTTCTGCCGCCAGCAGCAGCCAGCATGCCTGGGCTGACCTAACTTCCCTCATGGAGCCCCGGTTCCTCCTGCCCTAGATTTAGTCCGTACCCCCCTCCTGCCTCCCCCTGACGATGGTATCAAGGGCCGGATCCTGCACCCCCATCACGGGGCTGTAGACTACACGCCTGGGGTGTGGGGATGGTTCCCCCTCCCAGTGTGGCTCTGGCATGCAGCATCCTGCCAGGGGCTGGGAGTTCTGCCAGCTCCTGCTCCCAGCTCTCCCTTGGCCCCCGCTGCTGCATGGAGAGGGGGGGGGCATCCCTCTGGGGCTCCCCTGCTCCCAGCACAGCTCCAGCCTCACCTCCCTCCTTCCCTGCTAGGGCATCTCCTGTGGGATCCCCCTCCCGGTGTTCCCGACCCCAAGGATGCTCCCCGGTGCCATGGGGGCCATGCGGCACCTCCCTCCCCTGGCATGGCCCAAAATAGCTGCGTTCAAACAAGTGTTCTGGTTTTTAATGGCCTGTTTCTTCTGCCCGCGGGGGGGGATCACCTTCCCCTGCCCTCTGCTGCAGCCCTGTCACCCTGTGCGGGATGAGTGTTGTATCACCCTGGGGTGTCGGCAACTTTTTTTACTCCCGCACCCAAGAAATGGGGATGTTTAGGATTTGCACCTCTATTTACTGGCCGTGGGGGTGGCTCATGGGGAAGCAGCATTTGCTGCTCCCTGGCATCGCTTCTCTCCCTGCTCTGGCCATAACCCTGTTGGCAGGGGGTTGGCTATGGCCCCCCAAGACATGAGGCAGGCAGTGGGGGCCCCAGGCTGTGCCTGGCTCTGGGATGGGGGGGGAGATGCGTTCCCCTCCCTGGACCAGGGCCCTGCGGGGCGGCTGAGTCCTCCTTTTAGGGCAGGGATTCAGCAGAACAGGGCTCTGGCAGCCAGCCCCGTGGGGTGAGCAGGGACACTGCTATTGTCCCTGCGCCGGCTGCAGGCAGCTTTTC